CTTGTGGTCTCTTCCAACTCTATGATTCTATGATTCTATGAAATTGCTGGCCTGGTGAAAAATAACACTCAACACAAAGCCAAGTCTCTCTGCCAGGAATGACTTAACAACTGGAAACCACAAAAAACAGAACAAAACAAAACCCACCCTCAACCACTCTGAAATTTCAGAGACTGCTCCAGACTCTGGAAGGCATGGCTGGGGGAAGGCGAAGACCTGCGACTGTTAGCCATGCTGTAGCCCTTTGCTAAAGCCTCCTACCATGGATATGGCCAAAAAAGCCGCTGCTCCCCTGTATCAGAAGCAGTGAAACCCCAGCTAGCCAAAAGGAGGAATGACATGTCTGACCCTCTGATGGTGCCACCAAGGAGCTCACAAATCCAGCAGTAAGGTTTGGAATCCAAAACAGTGTACTGCATCCATATTGGAGCCTTTTTTTTTAATTTGGCCCACCACAAAATAGCCCTGGCTTTGCAGTCTCCAAAGCAGCATCACATCAGATGTGAAGGTGTGTTTCAACGAGTAAAAAATTATAGCCTCCTTCTCTCTCCCCACTGCTGTTTCCCTCTGACTTTCTACTACTAAGTGGATCCAAGTCAAAGTGAAAACTACTCAGGCCAGACTTTGTGGCTCCCTGAGTAACATCCCAGAGCCAAATCTAAGTGTGACTGCCCAAGGCTTAGCTGCTCCATAATTCTCAAGAAAGAAGAGCAGATCAGGGAGGCAAAGAGACACTGGAAGGACAGCCTGCTTAGACTGGACACAGTTTAAGCAAACTGCCCTTTTCTGGAACTGGGGGTCCTTCCAAGCTTCCTCAAGAGCAATTTTGGTATTGAACATGAAAAGTTACTTCTATAAGATCAGTTTTCCTGGTGGTAAATGATGTGGCAGAAGGTACACCTTGCAACCAGTGCGAGAACTGGGCCTGCGAATTAATTCAACACAGACTATCCCTCAGACAACAGTCCAGTTCCCCATGGCTAGCTATTTGGGGCACCTGGATTGGGATGCACACAATGACCTTGCACCAAGGCTGATGGAAGATGGATTCCCAAGGTTTAGACAGTGCAAAAGCAAACAAAGAAAAATCAAAGAGCACAAATGTGAGCTATTCCACTTATTAGCTATGCGAACATGCCAAGCAGGTTAGCAAGAGAGGGCCATTCCCTCCCCAGCCCATTCTCAGTCTTCATCTCTTTGCTCAGCCCCAAACGGCCAAGCAAAGAAGCATCAGGCAAAATCACTCACACAAACAGACATGTTCTGTACCACTGAATAGCTGTTAACATGATACTAATGGGGACTCCAAGGCTGCAGCCGCACTACAAAAATATTCTAGTTTGACACCACTTTAACTACCATGGCTCTACTTTACAGAATCCTGGGATCTGTAGTTTGTTGTGGTACCAGAGCTCACTGACAAGAGGTTAAATATCTCATAAAACTACAAATCCCAGAATTCCACAGCATGGAGCCATGGCAGTTAAAGTGGTGTCAAACTGCATTATTTCTGCAGTGCAGATGTAGCCCAAGACCCATCTGCCTGGTGACAGAGGCCAAACTCACTATAAGAATCAATAGCATCTGGCCTGAAACCAACACCTTGATTTCTTTTCTCTACTGTCTCATGCCAGGAGGTCTGTTATTCTGGCCAGCACAAAGAAGAGGGGCAAGTAGTCAGGGAGCAGAAGTGACTCTGCACTCTTCTCCAGATGCCAACCACTGGAGCCAAAACTGGGCACACCCTCACCCTAGGAAAGCACCTTGCCTCTGTACACGATGAAGCTGTCAGAGAAAAATACTCCTGTCACTCAGAGAAGCTCTCTGCACAAAACACTGCTGGCCAGACATGGATCTCAGATCCTGGCACAGAATCGTTTTTTAAAATGTTGTGACTGAAGTCATTTGCCAAGTTCTGAAATACAGGAAGGAAAACAAACTGGAGTCTGGCACCTGGACATGTTGCTCAAGACAACAGCTTGTCTCCTCAGTTTCCCTGTATAAAGGAAATAAACATACAGAAATGGTTGCTGTTGTCTTTCTTCAGCACCAGCTCTAAAAAGATTCCCTGCAGAGCATAGGATAGGCTTGGTCTGACTTCCGGGGGCTGCCCTATTCCACAGAGCCCCACTGTCTCACTCACCTAAGCTCTTCCATCTCCTTTTTCTTCTTCATCTCCTCCTTCTCTTTCCTCTTCATTTCTTGGATCTGGGCCTTCTTCTCATTCCTCTCCTCCCGGTCGCGGGATTCCTTCTCGGCCGACAGGTCTGGGAATCGCTCCACTTTGGTCTTCTCCAGCCGGTTCAAGATCTCATTCACCCTCTTCTCCACTGTCAAGGTCTTCACCTGGAGGAAGGAAAGACCTGTGGTCCTTGGAGTCATCAAGGTAGCTGAAGAATGAAAAACTCAACTCCCCTGAAACAAGACCATAGTCTCTAGAAAGCTGGGGCAGCAAGAGTGCCCACTCCCAAGTAGCCATGCCTCTGAATAGGTGACATGCTTCAATGAAGGTACCAACAAAGCAGAAGGCGAGTTGTCTTAAAGAGGCACAAGAATGCAAGGTCCTGGGCTACATCTCTGAAGGAGACCACTTATCTTGGTCTGGACCAAGGCAGAGCAGAGCTGGACAAAGGCCAAAGGAACCGATATCAATTTAAGGAGTCAACAGGCAGAAAAGCCAAATTCTATCCTCCCCTCCTATTTTGCACCCACTGCCTCCCTGTCAGCATACAGTATGACCCTTGTATCTGGTACTGGTCCCACAGTTTCACTTTTTTGTTGTTGTCTGCCTTCAAACTGTTTCTGATTTGTGGTGATCCTAAGGCAAACCTATCATCAGGTTATCTTGGCAAGATTTGTTCATAGGAGGTTTGCCATTGTCTTCCTCTGAGGCTGAGAGCATGTGACTTGCCTAAGGTCACCCAGTGGGCTTCCATGGCAGAGCTGGGAATCAAACCCTGGTCTTCAGAGTCATAGTTCAACATTCAAACCACTACACCACACTGGCTCTCACACTGATCATACGGTTGTGCTGGAAAATCTAGAAATGCCTAGAGGTTTTATCTCTAGGAATCTCTAGGTCCTCCAGCAAAACTCTATAGTCAACCTCCTCCAAAAGTCATTCATTTCAATAGGGTTTGCTATTATCCATGGTTTCCACAGTAAGTCTGGGAACATATCCCTCCCACAGATACAGAGGTCGTACTATAATAAGAATCTCCCTGCCCTGCATTCATCTGTTTCCTTTTGGTTCCCTATTGATTTCCATTATGTGCTCCATGCTCCGTAAAGATCTAAACCCAAAAGATGTTTCCTCTACTCCCTGATGGTTCATTCAAACTCTTCCTCCCCCTGCTTTCCCTTTACATCCGCTAAAATTGTATTTTAGTGTCTTCTAAAACTGTAAATTGCATTTTAATCTTTATTGTCCTTTTTGTTATGATTTCATTGTTTAAATTAATGGTGTTTTAATAGGATACCTTTTAAAATTGTGTATCTTGTTTTCATCTTGTTGCAAGCTGCCTTGGGTCTCATGTTGGGAGAAAGTGGGAAACTATGGTGGTCCCTCCACTGGGGTTAGGGGTGAAGGACCCCCTTAAATGTGGGAAAACTGCAAATAAAAAAAAACCCACTATTTTTTTTACCTAAGAGAACACCTCTCTAGGAATTTCTGGGTCCTTCAGTGCAACTAACTCTGTGGTTAACATCTGCCAGAAGTTGATCACAGAATCATGCTGGAGGACATACAAATGCCTAGAGAAGTGTTTTCTGTAAGAACTTCTAGGTTCTCCAACACAACTCTATGGTCAATTTCTGGCAGAGTTGTGCTGGAGGATCTAGAGATTCCTAGAGAGAACATATGAATCAAAACTGCAAACAGTCAAATTGCAAAAGTCAAAGGGGCAAATGTGGAGGGCCAACTGTATTAGTGTGCATACACACAAAATGAGCTTTCTCACTCTTCTCCCCAAGTTGACACCGTCTTCCATACTGGCCTCCCTTCAAATCTCACTTGGGCAAAACCTTCCATCTCCACGCTGCAGCACTTTTTTGCCCACCAGTCTACCTAGGCCTGTCACAACTGGAGGTGAATCTGACTCCCCACAGGTGACCAGGGAAGTGCCCTCAAACAAGCCTGCCC